CAGGTGTCAAAATTTCATGTCCTGAATGAGTATAGAATGTTGTTGCTATTTCCAACCCAGTTAAGGGAGCTTAATTCTGGTTTTGGTGATTTCCTTTTCCCAGGTCCTTTTTCAGGAGTGACAAGCAAGTGGGAGCAGCACATTTGAAACTTGACAAATTGGAATCTGAATGTGAAATTAGAGAGATCATTGAGGTACAACGCCAAGCTTTTTGAACAGAACTATATTCAAATGGTATTTTCTTTGTATCATTTTGTATTCTGAAGATACACTACAAAATGGGATATAACTGATTTCTATCCCTGGCAGTTCGTTGATAATATTTTCTTTGCTATATGCTGGTTCCGAAATAGTTGGAGGATTCATCCATGTCTTTATGTGGATAAGAAAATCTATTGAAATTTTCAAATAATGTTTGTGTTGAGTGGCTTGGTACAAGAATGCAAGAATTATGTGCTGACCAACTTAGCTCATCTTCCTTAATCACATCCTCTTCTGCATATTTCTGTGCAATCTAAATGCATAAGAAGTTGACTAGAAAAATCAAATCACAATTCATACTGTGTATAGAATTGGATATCTTAATGTAATACATTAGTACACAGGTGTCAAACTCGCAACGTCACGTGACGTGTTGCGAGATATCGTGACTTTTTTTCCATTACCGGCAATGGGGTGGGCGCGGTTTCGGCATGACGCATCTGGCCTGTGGACCGGCAGTTTGACAGCCCTCCATTAGTAGATATTTTGCTGTTTCCAAAGAAGTTTTCTGATATATTTGTTCATAAATTTGTAAGAAGGGAACGCTTGAACACATTTATTTGTTTTAATAGCACCTTTTAAACTATGATATAATTTGCCCATGTAGCTTTGCACTATTGTTCCGTCTCTGTATATTGTTTACCATATATACTGAGTCATACATAGCCAAAACTGTATCATACACATACAAATAAGTATTTTTGGCAGACTTTAAAAAGATCATGAAGATTGAACAGGGCTAGAAACAATTTGACTGTTGAGATGGAAAAATAGGGTGGAGAGAAATTAAGTGATTTTTTTGAATAAAAGAAGGAAACCATTTGCTGTATAGTACATTGTCATTGGTCATACTAAAAATGCTTTAGTGCAACAGTCCCCAACCTTTGCGGCCCAGCTGGTGGGGGGGGGGAGAGGGAAACCTGGTCATGCGAGCAGTGGGCCGGCACACACGTGCATGATTGCCTACCAGCCCACCACTCATACCAGTTGAGCTGTGCATGCGTTCCAGCCAGCCACTTGCACGGCTCAATTCCGAATAGGTCACGGCCTGAAAGTGGGCCATGGGCCGGGTGTTGGGGAGCCCTGCTTTAGTGTGTTCAAAGTCACTTCAATTATCTTGGAATTTTGTTGTGTTTTCTTCCAATTATATCTTTTCCATCTTAAGGTTTTGGATAGTAGGAAGCCTACGGGAGGCAAACTAGAAGTAAAAGTAAGACTTAGGGAGCCACTTACTGGGCAAGATCTTCAGACAATTACAGAAAACTGGCTAGTCCTTGAACACTAATTCTGCTGAAGGTAGGAGTGTTTATCTTTCATCTGTTATCCTATAGGTGGAAAAAATGATTTCAGTCCAGTCTTTAACTTGGAATAATGTGTTTTTCATATGCAGAACTGTAACTTCACTTTGATTTTTATTTTAAAATACTCTTAGCTTGTATGTTTTTATCATTTCATTACTAAAAATGTTCAAGACTTAAACGCTAAAAAACACCCAAGTAAATTATACAGGTGATCACTACTATTCACCACCAAGAAGTAACAACGGTCAGATATATTGTCAAAGATACATGTAAGGAAGTAATTAAAATTTCCCACTACAAGTAATTTTTATGGAATTGCTTTTGAATTGTGTGTGGGGGAAAGTCAGTGTATTTCAGTAATGGATGGTATTTTTATTTACAGTCATAGGATGTTTCTTTGTTATTCTCTTATTTATAAAACTATGCTGACTTTTTCTTCCCTGCACCCACAGGTCCAGGAATGCTAAAAGCTGCAGAATGGACTTTACATGAAGTTTCTGCAACCACCAAAGATGTTCAGTGAATGCACTACTAAACATAACATCTTTATTTTCATAACTATCATATAGTATGAGTTGGTAAGCTTTGTAAGTCTACTATTAGGAATGAAGGTATTGATACACAAAGAGACTGACCTATTTTAACCTTTCTTGAGGCTAAAATTGTGGGTAATACATAAAAGGTACTTGTTAATGTGACTGCTGACTTGAGCAAACGAAGGACATGTTGGTAAGTGTGGACAAGAGTTTAATGAATAGCAGTATAATTAAGATATGATGCAGCAGCTCCAGTGTGTTATATAACCTGCAATTAAGATGTGTTTCCTACCCATGGAATAAATGGATAGTCTTGTTTACTGAAGTGTAGGTTAAGCAGCTGTGATTGTATCTCTTTAAATTGCCTGCAATGAAGATTTTAAGTTACTGTACATCTCTTCATATATGCATCTATGTTGCTCAAGTGTGACTAGAGCACAAACCTTTTCAAAGGGAAGCCTGTATGAAATGTAAGATAGTTAATAGTTCCTTTTTAAATTCTCATTTGTATTCCTTTTGCTCTTCTGTGAACTGAGGCAGAAGTAAAACTGTTTACTATTTAATATCTGGATTTTGATCTTGCTTCAGCAAATACAGAACAATTTGACTGAAAGTACAAGAAAATTGTTTCCTGCCTCCTAGATAGAACATGCAACTAGGGATCCAAATTATCTTTTTCTCCAGTTTCATGGCTTCCAGCAAGGGAGTTGCAGAAGATTTCCACAATATGTGTGTGACTTCATACATACACTTAAGTCTGCCATGCAGCCAGCATTCATTTCTGTCTTAAGTCAGTGGAGACAATGCAGCATTCTGTTGTAATTTTAATAAATTTAATATACAAAACTACATGTTGAAAATAAAAATATAATATGCAGTCTTTGCAGTGTTAACTGAATTTTAAAAGTACATTTTTTTCTTTAAACAAGTACTCAGTTCTTAACAATATGGTAATCTTAAAGTCATTTAAAGGCTGTGGTTGAAGCAAACCAGTCAATAGAATTTTGCACAAACATAGCCCAAACAAATGATTTTTCTGCAGAGGGATGAAAAGTTCAGCCTTTCTCCATTTGTCAATAACTTTAATGCAAAGCTAAGTTACTGAAAAGCCTGCTTCTAATAGTGAAACTGGGATGCAGCTAATAAAGTAAGACTCTACAGCAATTGTAAAGAGCAGTTGTATTGACTTTGGCAATTCAGCCTGTAAAACAATGCTATTGCAGAAGGAGAGAAAGCTTATAAGGAACTTGAGTTTATGTGCAAGGAAAAGAAAGAACAAGAAACTTAAAATTGCTTTGCAAGACCCTCCTTTTGCACATGATTTCACAGGTGCCCATTAATGTCTACCAGTTCCCTCTTGCGTGGCTAAACATTGAATAACATATTTAGGTTTAGCATTACATGACCTATTTATGGGGTTAGTCTTTCATTGTTAGAAGATTCATTTTTCTGTCCTTCAGTTTGACGCTTTGATCGAATTCTCATTCTAATTCCCATTCTAGTTGCAGTTTAGCATCAGTTGTGTTATGTTTGTTTTTTTTACAAATTTAAGGATGCAGAGGCAATTTATTCAAAAATGAAATCTACACGTGTTCATGTATATGGCTATCTACAGAGAAAAATTTGTTATAGCTGCCAATGCTGTTCATACTTGCCCTGCATTACAAATTTGCTAGTCCATTTTCTAATCTGCATTTAGTAAAGCTCAGTCTTTTATCTCCTTGCACATGGATGATAGCGTTGTCCAAATGATATCTGAATTTATTTTCTCAATCGTTTGACAACTTTCTACTCGTTACTGTTTTCTCAGGAAATGTAGTGTTAACAGGAAAATGCTCACATTCTCTTGCTGTCACTGCCAGCCTGATACGTTTTCGCAAGAAGGCTCAATCTGCAGTCTGCTCAGTTCATTTCCAGTGAGGCAAGGTGTAAGCTTTCTAACTTTTGAAAGCAAACCATCGAACAGTAGGCAAACTTGCTAGAATTCTCAGAGGATAGCTTTATATAGTGCTGCTACTATAAAGTGCAGGGTTAATGCTATAAATCGCTTAAGTAAAGTACACACTTATCAAAAAAATTAAAGAGTACGTTCCTTTAAAAGAAGGATCAGTTGAAAACAATAGCAATTTCATGTAATTGCTCATTTAAGACTAAAGAAACCTGCCAAAAGCATAAGACTTACTAAAGTGCAGAAAAAAAAACACCAAATTCTTACAGCAGGTTTGCCAATTTCATTCTTAAAGGAGACTAAAAAAAAAAGTAAGGTAAAGCACAGAAAATGCAAGCTTAATTTACATACAATTTTTGGAAAGATTTCTGCTTTTGGCAGATGTAAAAAGTATCTTCCTGATGTTTGTCTTTCTTTCTGAACCTCTCTGAAGAATAGGCCAGCATGTCCTGGAGGTACTCTGACCAATAAAGTGGTCACAATAATGTAAACAATATATTTTAAATGTCTAGAGAAATTAACCATAAACAGCAGTATAATGAGGTCAGAATGGAGGTCTTGATTGTTTCTTCATAATAAGTTTATCTACAAAAGTTAAATGTTGACACATGTCTTTTCCTTATTCCCCAAGTGGTCTCTGCATTCTTTTGAGCATCAAATACATGACTGCAGTTGCCTTTAAAACATGACCATTATTGGTTTCTATTTCTATTCATAACAGATGTGTATTAGCTGCAAAGATAGCATAGCCATTTTGTAACATAGAAGCTGCCCTGATCCTGTTTGTTGACAAATGCATAGACAATTCAGAATTATGGAACAACTGTTCTCACCCACCCACCCACTCCACCCAACCCCTCACAATAGTGTTAACTAAAAGCTTAATTTTCCAGTTTTAAAGTGCAAATGATTCAGATACAACTGCTGCTAGAACAGGTCTGAAAGAAAATGAAGTCCTCTTATGAGATGTTTTCCAGGATATAAAAAATAAGCTCCATTATGACTGGGCCCTCGCTCAGCTGGCATGCCCCTCCATGAATCACTGGAACTAAGGCACTGTCCAGATCATTCATGTACTGAACAGGCAGTGGCTGGCCATTGCTCCCAGCCTGGTAGCCTACCTAAAGAGAAAGAAAAAATAACATGCTTCAAAATGGGTAGGACAAGAAACATTATTTTAAGAACAAATTATTTTTATTCCAGGCACATTATTTATTTTACAATATTTAGAGATCAACCCAATCCTATAGACTCTGGGCAGTTTATAGGTTAAGAAACAAGTAAAAGCAAAATAATATTTAAAAAAAAATACTTGCCAAGAGATTTATTTTGGGCTAAACGCTAATTGGGGGAATATGGTCTAAAGTATCTTTTAAAGCATCAGAATTTGGTCAGGAATAACATCTTGAAGTGAGCCATTAGAAGAGATGTTTAAATTATAATACAGTATAAAAAATAAACTTTAGCCGACTTTCCAGAAATGTAATATTGTAGGCAAATGAAACAAAAGTATATCAATATTGGAAATGTGGGCTGTAAAATGACAGCACCGCCAAAAGAGATACATCAAAATTAAGGCATAAAGAGTATAAAAAAAGCTGATGATATGAGTTCCCTGCAGGTAGTCCTTGACTTTTGACCACATTTGGGACCAGAATTTCTGTCACTAAGCAGTGCATTGATTATGAGAGTCATTTAACAACCACGATGATTTGCTTAATCGTAACTTTTAACTACCCCTTTTGCCATAGTTGTTAAGCCAACCACTGTGGACATTAAAAGAATCATGCGGTCATTAAGTGAATCCAGCTTCCCTCGTTGACTTTGCTTATCAGAAGCCAACTGGGAAGGTCACAAATGCCAATTACATGACCCTGGGACACTGTCACAAATGTATGCCAGTTGCCAAATGTCCAAATTGTGATCACACGACTGCAGGGACACTGTGACAATCATAAGTGTGAGGACTAATTCTAAGTCACTTTTTCATCACCATCAAACTATTGAAACTTTGAATAGTCTTTAAATAAATGGTTATAAGTAAAAAGCTACCTGTCAGTATTATAAATATAAAAAATATTTCAGAAAGAGGCCTCAAAATTATGCATGTCATGAATACAACATAATTAGAGGTGGAGTTACTAATATGTATATATAATCTAATTACAGGCTCAACTGGTTCAACTTTAAACGAGCTGGAATTGACACTCCATTGTATGCATTACTGATTATGGTTGTGCATGCTCTGAAGATGATTCAAGCATCACATTAATAAATCTTTCTCTGCTATTCATTATAGAAACCAGACTTTTTATCATGTTTCTGTGAAATTCTGAAAAATGGTGCCACTGTTTTAAAGAATCCACTCATTAAAGTTAATGTGGCCTTTAAGCCAGAAGCAGGCAGAAGCTGAAAAATTAAAGCTATCTTAATAAACATCAGATAATTTTGGCACTTGTCCAAGGTCCAAAACCCTTCTGAAGTATTCTTAAAATATGCACAACTTTATTACTGCTACTATATCAATTTGGATTCTACATTATCTTTTGGTCTTGATCTTATAGTCTGCCTCATCCCTTCCCTCTAGCAAGGAGCCTCCAGTGGATCTATTCATTAAACAAATAGAAAAAAATGTTTTATTCATGTGCTCATACCAAATAAGCAAAAAGTATTTCTCCCAGAATTGCTACTTACTTGATCAGTGTCAAGTGTAACTCGTAGACCCAGCTTGGTCATTCCATCTTCCTTCAACAGCTTCAGGTGTGGACATAAGGCCAGGCAGAAAGCCTTAGCCACATTCTCAGTCAGTCTGCTATGATCTGCTGGGTCACTCAGACCATTATGTTGGTCATCATTTTCCAAAAAGAAAACCTTAACATAAAAAGAATTGTTCCATATGTCAGCCCCAATAAACATAACTGTTTATAAAGCTGCATTACAACAGTAGTTGTATATCAGTGTATATTGCTGTACATCAGTGATTGCATGACCTCTGTAGATGCCCTACACTAAATAAATAACAGTAGCTTGGCATCTCAAAAACATTGGCAATTTATTAAATAATTCAGTTAATGGCAAGTGCAGTCTAAGAAATGAAATAAAAAGGATATAAACATGAGGAATTATGCAGTGAAATAAGATGACTGTCAAATGTCTTAATGTCAGAAATAAAATCATTCTATTTATATTTTGACAGACATTTGGCACATCAAGATAGCTTTCAGAATTATAAATAAAAGCTTGCCTTTAAAAATAATTACATTTCTGCTCAAGGCATCTGTTCATACCATTAGTATCATGAAAGAGAAAAGAAATTAGAAGATAAATAATAAACATGTCTTTAAAAGTGACCTTAATTAAAATTTATAGTTGTAGTTATGATACACAAGTGTGCTTGCAGCCATTCCACACACAAATGGTTTCTTATAAATAAACGTTAAGAGGGAATATGTTCACATTCAACTGTAGAATAATTGATGCTATATTTCCCATATTGGTATCTATGTAAATTTATTAATTTATTTTTGCAATTATGTATTATCCTTTCAAAACTCAAGGCATACATGGGGATATATCCTGATAATTATATGAAACAGATTAAGCTGATGGAGTCTACCCGACAATCAGCCAATGAGCTTTGTGATCACGTAAGGACTTGAATGTGTGTCTTCCAGATCAAGTCAGTATTAACTATAACACTGCACTGGCTCTCATATATATGAGTTACTATTACATAATAATAAAGATTCTAGCTTTTACATACAAAATAATGTGATTTCCTCACCTCTGTCCACCTAATGACCTTCCCATTTGCTTTATATTCTGAACCATGGAATATCTTCACACTTATTATAAACTCCATAGATTTCCCATCAATAGGACTTACAACACTAGAATGTGGAAGGAAGAGATAGCTCTATTAGCAGTAGGACTTAATATTGCTTTAAGTCCTGTCTTTATATGCTTAGGTAATTATCAATGCTGGTCCAATTTAATAAACAATGTAAAACTCTGGGTCTGTTTATCAAAATAAGTTCATATAAAAGAATAATGAAGCATATTGAAATAGGAGCAGTTAAAACATGCTACATATTTAAAATAGCTTATCTGAAGAATCACCAGATAGTTTTTAGGTGAAACAACTTTCGTCCAAGCATCCCTTTCTGGTCAAGTAAGTATAGTCTTAAAATCCTTAAACATATATTATAGAAGAGCCAAAAACCATCCACAGAACTGTTAAAAGTATGGTGGCATCTCTGCCATATATAAGAAATTCTCTGAGAGAATCTTTAACAACTGTTCTAATTTTAGCTTGGTTATTCTAGTTTACCACACACACAATATATATATATATGGACTATAGATTAGTAAATGAAGCTACTGGCTTTGAATGTAGACTTTAAACATAGACAGTATATGAAAAGTCATGTAAGAGACATTATCTAAGTTAATCTGAATATTTCAACGAGCATGCCCTATCAGGAAACAACTCTGGCTGGGCAAAAAGAAAATGCAGATTAGTGCACACCATTCAGACATTCCTACTGTCTCTTTGAAGCTAAAGTCCAATTTATTCCTTCTTTTGGCTATGCAGGAGATAGAATGGAAAAATTCTCCACCAGAGCATTATGTACAGCAGATTACTGTTGGTTCACATGATGTTAATTATAGCTCAGCATTACATGTGAAGCAATTCAATAAAACCAAATAAAACAAAAAGTTGTTGAGGTACCCTTTGTTGAAGTTTTTATCATCATCCACCCACTGAATATGCACATGTTCTTGAGGTTCTTCAGCATCCACTTTTCCACAAGAAATTGTGAAGTCTTTCATCTCCCTCAGAGCTTGCCTCAGGGAGTCCATATTTTCAGCTGTTATCTGTACCATCACACCATCTACATATGAAAAGATACAAGCACTTACAAAATTCCACACATAATATATTGTTGGAATGGCATGTAAAGTATGAAAAAGGAGAGCCTAATATCCTGATCAATGAATTTTACAATTGTTACGTATTATTATACAGATGAAGAACCACTTTGGTATGGTGGTTAAGGTAGAAACTGGGAGCTCATGACTTGAATTGCCCGCAGCATTGTCTAAAAATCAAGAACATTAAAAATCAAGAACAATAAATAGGATATATTAATTTCCATTATTACCTGAATCTACTCTTAGCTTTATATTCATCTTTAAAGAAATGGTAGATTTGGTAAAGTAAGAATAATGCAGAATTAAAAAAATATATTTAATCCTTTATTGAGCAATTGTTTTTCTAAAATCAAAGTCTTACTCTATAAAAGAGTCATCAGTGACCATTTACAACATCTATTTTTGTGAACAAGAATTAGTATCCATGCCTTTAATATAGTACTATTCACTTTGGGAAGAATTTGAAAGCTGAACTAGATTAGACTGTAGAAAAACATCATTCTACAAGGGTGGTTAAAGATATAGTGCATAATCTGTAAAAGAATGTCTACCTTTATCATTGTGCAATTGTTAATTTTTATTGGCTTCCTTTTTTATGAAACCTGTTTTGCAAAGCGGTTTGTTTATACTTTCATAAATAAACAAATAAAACACTGAAATCTTACCTTCTACAATACTGGACTTTGCAAGATAGCCTGAAGATGATTTTAAAGCTCCACTAAATACAAAGAAGCTGGCTCCAGTCACTGCAACAATGAGACACATTAAAATGTAAATATAAAACGTCCATTTAATTCAATAACAAAGCACGAACAATCCAAACAAAAACTAAATTATGCAACCACTATGTTTAAACAAAAATATAAAGTACATATTTTAGGCCAATTGAAATGTTCTGGGAAATTTGAGAGTTAAAAGGATACTTGATCACTATTAATCCATTTTGCAATCTGTTTTGCAAGATGTGCATTTATTATTGTGTTCTCCACTCCATACTCAAAGGTTTTAGTAGTGTTGAAAAAGTTACTAGTTTGGGTCATGAATCCTCATGCATCATTTTGCTCAGAGAAAGATTACCAAAAATAATACAAAAATTTAAACAGGCTGAGATTCTATGAGATTCTATTACAGAAAGATAGCACAAGTTTTATTCTGGCAAGTTAAAAAAGCGCTCCTTAACAATTCTTTAATTTTAAGACAAGAGGAAACATACAGAATTAGTGCAGTACTAAAATTCAACAAACTTGAAGCGCAGTGCCAAAATTCCAACATTAAGAAATAATTGAAGTTTGATGGCTAATTTAAAAACCAACACCTGCAAATTCTGCCTTTGTATTTCACATACTTATAAAATTAAAGACTCAACAGCAGCTTTAAAAACTAAAGGAAATCATTCAGGAAATCAACATTTATGTAGAAAACACTGTCAACAACTCTCACCCTTCCTTGGTTGATTATGAATACTGATGGCCTGAGTCTGATAGTTGCCATCATCATTCTGCACACAAACCAGATGGGAGTCTGCTCTTTCATTGAAGCATGCACCACCTGCTAAAACATGCTCATTGGATTTGTTCATGGCTTTCATCATCTGTAACAAACGCCCCAAAATAGAGCATCTGCCATTAATGTGTAATATGGACTGTGACTTAAAAACAAATATTTTGATACTTGGGGAAAATATCTCCTCAGGATTATTCCTAGAGGACAAACTATATACAGTGTTGAATTATTCTAAAGGATTTAGAAATTTTTCATAATCTTGATCTACAATGTGATCAGAGCTTCATCTAAATCCCATTGGATTCTGGTTAAACAAACAACTTCCAAAGCACGGACCCACACCTTCCCTTTGATGAATATCCTGAGCCACATTCATTGTCTTTGTTGGATAAAGTATATGAATAGAAGATAATCAGCTCTCTTAAGGAGGATAAATTGGTTAAGTGTTCCAATCTGTCAGATGGCTATCGGATGCAAGAGACAGAATGAAAGGTCTCACAATTAGAGTTTACTCTTCATGAAACAGATTTGGGGAAGTGAATAATTGGCTAAAAGAGATTTCTGCAGACTTCAGAAAAGTGTTATCAGTGCTCATAAGGTTAAAATGGCAGTAGTATCACTGCCAGAGGCTTTCTCAATCCATATTCAAGCAACAAAACACTGCTTTTTAACAATAGAACATCATCCCAACCATAAAGTACGGTGATGAAAATAAAATGGCTAGTAATCAAGAGAAACAAGGGATTCTAGATTGCATCTGCAATTTCTACAGGATATGACGGAATTCAATGATAAGATAAAGTTTAAATACATATGAATCATACAGCAAGACTACAATCTTAAATGCACGAGTAAATTTATGCTACTATGTAATGTCCAGGAACAAGGAACAATTTTGGAATTTTGTCCTTGACCCATTTGAAATATTACAGCATGAACTGAAGAGAAAAATTCATGCAACGTAACCCACAAATACCAATAACTTGAAGCAGTAAAGAAGAATGCTGCAGGCCTAACTACCTCCAAGCTGAGCTAATATGCAAGAGTGATCAACAGGCATGGAAAATGTCTGGCTGAAATTGTTGTGGCAAAAAAGTGCCACTGTTCGCTAATTCTAAGCTTCACATACTTTCCCCCCCACAAATATAGTGAATGGTGGCTCAATGTGTGACATGACGTGGCAATTTTGGGTGTTGTTTGTTTAAACAGAGCTTAAATATTTAGATCACGTTAAGAGATACAGTACTATGGGATTACAGATAAACAGTAAACAGTTCGCAAATTTAATTAATCACTGGAAAGCCTTGGCAAAATCATGTCAAAACTAATGCTAAATTATTTTTATATATTTTTCTCCAACAGTCTTTAGAACACAATCTTTACACTCACTTCTCCAATATTAATTATTTGGTAGTATGTTTATTAGATAAATTCAAAAAGGATTTACATACAAAGTATAGGAAAACAAGTCATTTTTTAAAATTAGCACTTAGCCTACAGTAATATGAATCAGAATTTCATTTAATAAAACTATCTTTGTAGTGGATTTCAAAACTGAGTGTATTCTATCTATTTATGCCACATACCTCATTATATCTGTTACTGGGAATTTTTATGCTTGTTTTTCTCACTTCCATATCAACCACTAAGCCTTGGACAACTGGTAATGTATACTGGTAATTCCTGAAGTCCTGTCACACAGAGAGTAATCAAAATCATGATAGCTACTGATCATAATTAAACTTTAACATTTCATATATTATGAATTGATACAGAAATATTTTAATAACATGCTGCATTAAATTTTGTTGTAATAATAACTATTTTATTCTGTAAAGAACAGCAAAGCATACAGTTGATTTCAGAGGCAATATGAAAAATCAAAGTGGGATTTGTAAATGATGACAAATAGTTTCCAGTGAGATACTTTCTTAAATGGCAACTATACAACAGAATTAGATTACAATATAGGACTGACAAGTGAAATAACTTGCTTAGCTGATGGTAGGAAGATAGTACCCATGTGACTATCAACTTCCTCCCACCCAACTTGCCTATCACAATTCTGCTTCCTAAAGACTGAGAAAATACTATTCATTTACCATAAATGCATTTACCGGTACATTTAGCACAAATCTTTTAAATGTAGAAAAAGACATGCCCAAAATATTATTTTGTTTCCAGAAAGCAACAGTTTTATTTAGGCAACATATCTAAATCTTCTGATTTTAGAAATACCACTGAATATTTCATTTATTAACATCTTAATATGACTGAATCTAATATGAGCAGTATATCTATAACTATATGAAGATACAATTCAAATCTTAAGATATGTTTAAGGTCACATATTTAGTATATATACACAAATAAAAGAAAAAGCCTATAATCCAATTCTGGAACTTTTCAACATAATTGTGTATGTAAATGAAAATACCAAAACATACACACTTTCTTCATTAAATATGACAGAGCAAAGAAAAAACAAATCCTTATAATTATTACTTACTGCAAGAAGATTCATAATTGTGTGACCAGTCTCACCAAACAATGGCTTACGAAATCTGACACTGAAAAGTGGACATGGATACACTAAAAAGAAACCCCCAAAATATCAGATTTATTTTCTGAGAAGTTTACATTTGCTAGAAAAGTAGATATAGAAGATTAACAGAAATATTAAAATAATAGCTATTATTATATTATCACACATAAATAGGGCAATTGGAAACTTTATATCATGTTGGTGCCTCATTAATCAAGAACTTTTATTAAAACAAATATGTTTTGTATTGAGTTAAAACACTGGGTTAAAATATCAGCTTGCTATGTATTTATTTACACAGGGCAACAAAAAGATATTGGTGCCATCACTCCTTAGGAACATGATTTTAGTACCAGTCTTTCTATCAAGTTGGCTTAAGTTTCATTTGCCTCTTCAATAAGTACACATACAAATGAAACACTGAATGGAGGCCAGAAAGCAAACTGTCTCAACCCCTATATTCATTAAGAAATATGTTACTAATATAGTTAGCTCTATAACTGAATTTGTCTTATAATTCTTATAAGCATAATACATAAGGAAAAAACATGCAATCTTATTTATTTAAAAACTTAAAAGCTTTTTAGTGAAAGAAAAATTAAAGTTATTAGATTCAAATCAAGAAGAAAAAACAGAACCTATGTTCACACAGCATGTAAGATCAAATGATTAACTTATAATTTGTCTTACTCTGTTTTGCTGAATAAGGTATCATTTGCTGGATTCACACACCAAATTAAGCCATAAAACCACATTGTACAAACCACTGGCTTAGTTCACAGAACATATTATGCAAGCACATTGTATTATCACTTAATCTGATGTTTGAACCACGCCTGGTTCCCTTTATATGAACAAAAGAAACTCCAAAATAAAAAACTAAAATGTTATTATCCCAAAGTGTTACCACCCAAAAAAACCCTCAAATTCTTCTCTGTGCCATTCCATAAGGTTTTCCCAAAGTAGTATAAGATATATTTCTAATTTAAAAAAAATGGGACTTACATCTGTATTCAGCTCCGAGTCTTAGCATCAGTCGGATTGGAAAAACTTTAGCCCAAGGAGTCTCCCATTTCTGAATAAGAATCCCAAATAAATATGGTGGGGTGGGAAGCACCAAGTCCTGCAGTGACTGATACGCAGGCGTAACATATAGAAAGCCACCATGCTCCTTGCTACTAAGGAAATTCTGACTGAAAAATGAGTGTCCTAGGTTGCTCACAACATTACCTACCAAACCAAAAGCATGGTTATTTTAGCGGTAAATATACCATCAAAACAGAAAATTGCATATAACCTTATTCTACTAGTAATCATAGAGCAAAATGAATTATTTAATGTTAAAACAGACTAATATTAAATTTTAATTAACATACTAAAGCAAAAACAAATCAGTCTTTTACTCAGTTAACATCGCAATATTTAACATATCATTTGTATTCCAAAACAATATTACTCCAAAAAGGTTATTTCATGTATCTAGAAGACTGACACTGAAAATGGAATCCGTGCATCTTAGTATTTAGGAAAAGCATAAAAATAAAATTTATGAATTACATATGCTTAAGTTATAAATAAATTCATTAAACTTCTCAAGATCTCCTGCTTTAGTCATTATCCTTAATTATTATTTCTAAAAATCCATTAAAATACAAGTGTAGCCTGACACTTAATAAGCTGGAAAACAAGAACTTCCACATACTGAAGTATACCTCGACATTGAAGTAATTTCTGAGAGTGTATCCTCACATTAAAACAAAGATTAAAGGCCACTGGCTTCTTCTTTGGCTAGCCAGAGTTGCCTACAACCCTGATAGCCTACCAGCTTTTGAGTTCAAATGAGATGGGTTAGGCACTGTCACCCAGCTTGGTTTTAAAATAGTAATGATCGTCAACTCATTTCAATAGAAATAAAGAATATACATAAAGAATAGATAGATACAACTTTGGTTACAACTTACTGTGGTTTGATATAGCAGAGGGCAAAAGAAAGCTTGTTATACCGCAAGTATGCCAGTCACAAATCTAAAGTGATTCTCCCAGACTATTTAGGAAGTGCTATTACGTTGTAGCCTTGTAAAACATTGTCAGAATAAAATCCTTGCATGAGAGTGCCCAATAATAGACAAGAAGCAAGATGAACTTCCTCATCTCCATTCTTAGATAATGCCCTCTCCTCTCAAAAAATAACTAGAGTTCACTGGTTTCAAGACAGGAACTAAACTTGAATGTAGCCAAATGGCAATCTAAATAGAATGCAGGCTGGCACTATTGTGAAACGCAACATAAATTTTATCAGGTTCAAACAATCCAATCATCGCATACATAGCTTTTTTAATATAAAAATCTGTTTTTCTAACTGATTATATTTAACAATTTTAAAAGGTGCCATCAATCATCATAGTTTTTAAAATGGTCAAAGTTTTACCTGCCAAGGCATCTTGATAAAGTTGCACAAAGTGGTTAAAAATATCCTTGGGTAAGCATTTTTCATCAGGTAAACATTGGAGAAGAATTACTATTTCTGATTGGCCTACTGCATGCATTCCCTTTGTAGTAAAGCACCAGCATTTCCTGTTCACATCTGCAAAAAATAAAAAAAATCACACACTATAGAATGCTGTGTGTTTATCAAAATAAATATTTTATAAGTATTATCCATAAGAGGTATGTATGTATGTCGATCAAGAACACTGCACTGGATGGTCTGGAATTTATTTACTTACAATATTTATGAATCGCCCAGTTAAGACTTTGAGCGATGTATAATAAAAATACAAAATAAAAACCACCAGTACAATAATTAATAACACCTAAATATATTTAACTCCTCTTTCTTCTGTTATTTTTCTAATTAAAATATTTTTAAAAGAATCTTGCAAAGTGCTACATAATATCACAGTCTAAGCCAATGTCACATCTTCTGCAGCAACTGTTAAAAATTATATGAAATGTTAACACATGTAATCAATTTACACACCTGATGATGGAAATATAATTTTAACAATTTCATTATTATTCAGAACATTAAATGGAGATTCTTTTCTATTACATTACTGTCATTTTCCTGAGTCAAGAAATCCATATTACCAAGATAAGCAGACATTTAAAATTTTCATGTGTGTCCCCAACCTCACCCTCTCCAAAAAATACTACACACTTTTTTCTGAACTTTGGCAAACAGTACCTACTAAGAACCTGCCCACCATTAACGAAGAATAATTGTTTGCTAGCAGAAATATAACAACAAAGCATAAATGTAGTTAATAGATATTCGCTATCTACTTGAAATAACTGGGACTTACAATTTACAATTTTAACCATAGACAATAAATTTGCATTTAAAACAAATACAAGAGGATCAGGGCCACCATCTTCCAGCTGTTGCATCACTGATATGTGAGATGGTTTTTCTTCTACAGTATAATCTAAAACAAAGAAAGATTATGTATCATTTGCCGAAAAATGTACAAGGTTTTATGTACAAGAAAATCTATTATGTTAGACTCATAGTATTAGAAATAGAAATTCAGGCTATCAAATTCAACTCCATCCTCTGATAGGGAGTGGGGAATCCAAATTAAAGCATCTATATCAAATGTCTATCCAGGTTTTCCTGAAGGAGGTGTTTTGGAATTTCTTCCTAACACCTGATTGAAATCTGCCTTTCTGTAAGCTTTTTTCTTTTTCTCCTGTTGTTTATATGACACTTTTGGGTTTGTCTTCAATACACACTTCATTTTTTTATAAAAATGCCTAGCTTCTACTATAAATTAGTATTATATTTATGTTATTGCAATAAGCTTTGTGTTGGACTATCCTTGTAGTAGGATAGAATTTAGATAGAAGTAGCATTACTTGAGACTGGTCATTTGGACCTCAAGTGAGAATTAAGGGTTGATGTGTTAGATGATCCATCACTTTTCTTGTGATGGATCTTCTGTTTTCTCGGCTGTCCACATTGCTTTCTGGAATCTCCAATATCAAAGTTCAAAGGCATCAATACACTTCTTATTCTGCTTCTTTAAATTCCAACTTTTGCTGTTTGCTGAATGCTGGATGGCAGATTAAGACCCGAATGAACAGAATGTAGCAGTCTTGAAACAAATGTGCAGTCTACCTATTAGCTGTTCTGTCGCATTTAAGATTTTGCAAGTTATGAAAAACCTTAGTGCCAGATTATATCTAGAGTAATTCTCTTTATCTTTAGATTTCTTCAGAAAGTCTCCCCAGAAAGGATTCCTGATTATATCATGGCCTATACACTGTCAGCTGCTGATTACACAGAAAGGAGCCTTCTCTATGAGAATATTCTCCCACCTGGGAATCATGAAGTATCAATTATGGCGACTTTAAATACACCTATGGAAGGGGTAATGCAATTATATGTATGCATGCATGCTTTGGGTTTTAAATATTTACTTTTAACTGTTTAATTAATGCATTTTAGTTTTAATTTAAAACTGTCATACAACATTGACATGGAAAACATAAATAGATGACATTTCTAAAATGCCTGGATCTAAAAAACTATGATGAGCAAAACCCCAAGAGCTATGAAAACAGTATGTTTGAGAAATACTAGAACAATTTAAACAATTATAAGTTGTCACAAAAATTGTGAACAACTATGCTGATTAACAAAGATATTTTTTCTCGCAATTGTCTTATTTTTTCTTAATGAACATTTCCATATTCTCCATTGATTTCTAATACATTAACAAATATAGTGCTACCACAGAATTCCCACTTGTGTAAAACAAATAACAGCACCTCATTAGGCATAATCTTATCCACCACTAATTAAAAGACAATCTGAAGTTGAAGAAATTTCTGTTCAATATAATATTGTATTTTTCATTTACACACTAGCATCCACCACTCACCTCCTTTTACCCCAGTAGAGATGAGAATTGGAGGAAGCCCGTCTTCTGGAATAAGATTCATTGCACTGCCAACGGGACTTCCAACCTGAGTTATATTTCTTGAAAATGCAAGTGTGTTTTCAGTCTACAAGATATAACAAAAAACATTGTGTAATGTATAGTAAGTCAAGCCCTAATCACTTCACATGACTGGAGCTGCCCTTGAAGACCACTCAGAACTGGTCCAGAATGCAAAGTGCAAGCAGTGATGAGCATGCCTTTATATGCCCATGTGACAGCTTCAACAAACTAGGCTAGTTACCTACATGCTTCCAAGGTTTTGCTCATGATCTATAAAACCTTATATGTCACAGGGCCTGGCTACTTAAGGGATCATCTGTCTTCCATGGTATCAGCCTGGTCTGTTCAATCCAAGAGAGTTGGAACACTTCAAGTCCCTTCAATTAAACAATGTCATCTCTCAAGGGCCGAATACATACCTTCTATGTCCTCTTGCTTGTCTTCTGGAACAAGATTCAATCTGATATTTATGTAACTCTCACCTTGCTGGCATTCTGAAATGCCTTTTTCCCCAGACCTTGGATAAGGGTTCTTCGGGCTTCTGCCAGATTGTGTGTGGGTATAGTTAATCAGATCCATCATCATTTTTTGTTGGATATTTTTATAATTACAGTATTCTGTTTTTATTCTGCTGGTTTTATTGTATATTGCCCAGAGTTAATTGGAATTTGGTAATGTCTATATCGAATAATTTACATTAAGTAAACCTTAATCTAATCTTCACTTTACAAATAAAAGGTACAAAAACTGCAGTAAGATCTTATGTAAGAGGATCAAGACAATAGTATTCATATATATCTATAATCTGATAGAATAATTTCCTTATACATAGATACAAAAACAATTCATTTCTACAATATATACAAAACATGATTTAGAGTTACCATAGATCTTAAGCTGAAAGAATGGAGGTCATTTTCATTAATTTCTCATTCCCATCTGTTTCAATTCTATCAAGATTGTGATTGAATTGGCCATCCAGATCTGGGAATATTCCATCTTTCACCATGTATGAAGTAACAGTTCTCTCTTCAAGGATGATATGAAATCTGGGGGACTTCTGGGACTCACAACTCCTGCTTGACAAGCTGGTGTCAGCAGTAGCAAGGAAGACCTTTGCACAACTCCATCTGGTGTACTAGTTGTCCTGTTTCCTAGATCAAGGATCACTCATGCTCTAGTCATCTCAGGGTTTGACAACTCAGTGTGCTCTACATGTTGCTACCTTGAAGACCACCCAATTTCAACTATTCTAGAATACAACAACATAAATAATAATGGCCATGCCTCAGTATGTCCACGAAACATTTCTGTTTTGCAAACTGCACCCCTTGTTGGTTTGCTTCAGGTTGCAATTTATTATTACTCCCACAAGGCCTGAGTATTTGAGGAACTACCTATCTCCCATAACATCTATCCAGCTGATTCAATCCTGCAGAGTTGGCACATTCCAGATTCCTTCAATTAAACAATGTCATTTATGAAGACACTGGATGTGCAACTTCTCTGTAGTAGAGTCTGCTCTTCCCCAAAGATCCAGATGGCCTTAACCTTCTGTTGTTTAGAAGAGCCACAAAAGACATAGCTCTTCACTCAGGCCTTTGTTGAGAAAGAGTGAGACCCTTCACTTCATCGTGCTTGCAATCTTCTTTTAGTATTATCTTTTTATGTTTTATTGATTTGTTATAAGCCCCCTGAGTCACCAAGTGTCATGCAACATTTTTTTATTATTACTATTATTGTTGTTATCACCCATGCTGTTCAGGTATGCTCAAGTTACATACCATTAACCATGTTTTGTTTTTTATTTTGGGGTTTTTGGGGGGAGGGGTGCTTTCCAGTCTAGAAGTCACAGTCTCACAGTTTCTAGTGTAGTGCTTTAACCACTACATCAAATTGGTTCTATACTGTATACAAGGAAATCTAAAGCATTCTCTTTCCTATGCCATTTGAATAGCACACAATATACTATATAATAAAGAAGGGCAGTCATTTACCTCTTCTGGCAAAGTGTTGTTGCTTATGGGCTTGCTTGGGTCATGTGATACTGCAAGTGCTCCAGTGGAACTTGTTCCAGACACTGTTAATTTGGCTGCATCAGCAACTTCGCCATTGGGTAAGATCCCATCAGCAAACCAAACACGTCTTTGTTCTCTAGGCTGAGTCACTACATAGAAAGATGAGATTAGCTTTATGAAAGAAATACATGCATGAGAAGAAATGAAGCTAAATGCAAAACAGTGATACAGAAATATATTTTCTAACGCAAGCTGAACAATATTTGTAAGCGTTCCAAGACCACAATTAACCAAACGTCACAGGAACAAGTTTGAATTACACCCCAGGTTAAGTTATGCAGATAGGTTTTCATTATCACTCACACATATGTAAGATGACTATACAACTCCATGAGATCAGTCGTCACCTAGATTTCATGGTTTAAAGAAGAGGCACAATTATTTTGCTGAGAAAACTCATAGTCCAAGGGTAATTTGAAATAAGATATGTTCGGCCTAAGCTAAATTTTATGAGGTGATTGAAATTAATAACAGGACTGACCAGGGAGGCCTACATTTTCAAGGATCCATACCTTCAGTACCTGGATGCTTTAAGACTCCCACTGGGACCATAACAGTAGGTGGTGGAGAGTTCAGCACTCCAGAAGCCTGGACTTGCTGCAAGGGAGGAATGGTAGAACAGTATTCAGCAGGATTGTTAGGATTGGGGCTCGGACTAGGGGCACTCAGCATATTCTCCAGGCTTTGAGCTAAGAAAAGATAAAAATACAAGAAAGGAAATTGTTATCATGTAAAATTAAATTTAATAAGTCATTGTTTTCCTTTTATTAGAAATACAGAGGTAATGTAATGAACTCATTAGCCATAGCAACTAAAGTTAAGGCAAACAGAGCAAGGAAGTGTTTAAGTTAAAAGAATTAATTATTTCAGATTACCATTATGGAATTATTATCACCATGAAACTAGGATCACGGAGCCAAGGCTACTAATAATAGATTTTTAATAACAATTTGGCTAGATTTTTTCAAACAATGTTTGCTGAATTATGACTGAATTTGTCCTTATGTAGTGAAGACTGCTACAAGATTTTTTTTCAATACTTATAGAGAGAAGCCAGAAGTCCAGAAGCTGATAGAGCAGAGGAGCAGAACTTGAGATGGGACGACATTAATAAATTGCATTTGGGTTATTAAGTATACACAGAAAATATTCCACAAACTAGAGGCTACTACAGAGAGGGTGCGTTATTTCATCTCTACTCCAGATTCCTCAAATTTCAAAAGACATTCTATAAATGAGTAGATTTGGTTCTGGTCCGGCATTGCCTGATATAGCCCAATACCATGCTAACAGTGACAGGAAACTACTAGCCTTTTGAACAGAATTCACAACCTACACAACTTAACATTATAGATGTTATATATAGGTGTAATTCAACAGTGTTTGGCTTGTTCCCCTAGGACAGGGGTGTCAAACTTGCAACGTCACGTGATGTATCACGATGTATCGTGACTTTTTTGCCATTGCCAGCAATGGGGTGGGCACGGTTTTGCTATGATGCATCCGGCCCGCAGGCCGGCAGTTTGACACCCCTGCCCTAGGAGCTTGGCTGCCTCATTCAATACCAGCTGTAGCTAACTTCCAGATGATCTCCTAAAGCACGGGTGTCAAACTCACACGTCACGTCATGTGTCACAATGTATCGCAACTTTTTTTGCATTGTCGGAGCTGGGGTGGGCGCGGCCTTGTATGATGCAGTTTGACACCCCTGTCCTAAAGGCAGCTCCACATACAGTAATCCAATCAGGTGAGCATTAGAGCATGCATGATTGATATCAGTTTGTGATTTTGTTTTAACTTAGTAAATTAATCTCAAATGTAGTTACACTGTTATTTATTATTAAATCTATTTATTGCCCTGCCTACTTTGGGTAGGAGAAATGAATTAATATGATTATGCTATGCACATTTAAATGTTTATCTTTTTAAACTTACAATGCAGTAACTATATCTGAGGAGATCTAGGAACTTCAGCTACAAGTTCAGAGAGCAGAAATAGTGGTACCTGGTCTTCAGAATGTATACTTTGTGATAAATATTTTTCATTCATGACAAATGTGGAAGATCTTTCATTAGCACGTCAAAGTAGGTTTCTACAACTGACAGATGGATCTGTACATATGTGGATCCAATCCATTTACCGTAGGCCAACATATATGACAAGTGCTATAGAAAATACATACCCATTGCTCTACTCCCTTTCTGGGTAAGCACCGTTAAGGAAAGTACAGAAAACGAATGAGAAGCAATAAGCAAAAAAGTTAAAGGTAGGAGAGGAAAGAAAAGCAAATAAAAGCTAAATCTAGCTTACACCACAACCGTTTAATATCTCTCTCCATTCCTTCCCATCCATGCAAAACATCTTGGCTTCTACTATGTCTATACATTTTCTGTACTGCATTTTATTCTTTAAACTTCCCATTTCTTTCTTTCTGAGGAACTTCAACCAACTACAGCTTTCTCAGTATTTCCTCTTCTTCTCAATTCATTCACTTTTGCTTTTTCTTGTGTCTGTGTGTTTCTGTGTGTGTCTGTGTGTGTGTGTGATGTGATGTGATCTTCACTCATCGCTCTGTGTGGTCACTTACCCTTGTATTCAATCCAAAGTCATTGAATACCCATTCAGTTTTGATTACCATACATACTTCTTAACTATGCCATTCACACACTTTCAATTTACCTTTGGTTCTCCTGACATACTGTATCCAACTCTCACTTCTACAAAACAGACAGAAACATGCTCTTATACACAGCCATTTTCACCTATTTTGACAAAAATCTTTTCATGGCAACACACCAGCCACTGCCTTTACTTCCAGCCTTTACGCTACATATCATTTTCAGAAATTGTTAAGTTCTCCAATAATTCAATGGCACATACTAGATACTAGAGTTATTGCTGGTATCATTCTGAAAATAGCTTTCTCATTAAAATTATGTCCAATATGAAAATAAATTACACCAGACTGCACAACAGCCCCCACTCATACATTAGAAAGGCTCCATTAACCACAAAGTAATGAAACTTGAGTATTGTTTCAACAATATTACTTACCATTCATAAGTACCGAATGGCAAATTACACATACTCTGGCTTCCTTTCTATCCATATACAGCAATTTGCATTTCAGATTACAGCACGCTGCACAGAAAACCTTAAGTAAAATAAGAAAAATATATTTACGTTACATTTAATTAAAATAATTTGGACAGAATGCTCTATCTATATTTCCAACACAAGCATGTTCTAGTTTTTTCTACAGAATAAAACAAAATTGCTTAATGCTCGTGTAAAAAGTCATTATATATTATATTATACATTATATATGTTATGCACTATACATGTTTTAGACTGAATAATTTTATAACAAAATTTTCCCCCACGGCAACATATCAAGACGGATTAAGAAATAGTGACTGGCCCAAACTCCTCCAAGAGCTTTCATGACAGAGAACGGACGTGATCCTCATTCAATTGTTAAAACATGTTATCATCATATATTGTTGACTTGAAATAAACTTGAAAAATTAATTTTATTCTAACTGCCAATCCAGTCTCACTTGCTGCCCATTACCCCAGGATCATACAGGTTGTTAGATGAGGGCCTCACGTTATCACAATGTGGAAAGAAGAGGGAGGCCAACAGGCAAGAGCAGTGGAACGGGTGGTTAAGTGCCACCAGTGGCACCATGGGCAGGTGCTACGGAGCACATGCAGGTGCTTAGGATCACGGACAGGTGGGTGGATGCATGGGTGAGTGAAAACGTGGTGGGACCTGCAGGCATGCCTTGTGACTTCCTGTCAGCTTCCCTATTAACTTTGCTTGTTGAAAGTCAACAGAGGAAGCAACAAATGGCAATCGAGTGATTGCAGCATATAGAGTGTTGTAACTATCACAATTGCCAACTGGATGCCAAGTGCCCTTGTTGTAATCACATGACCACAGGAACAATGCAACGGCCACAACTTCAAGGAACGGTCATAGGTCCTGCTCATTCAGTGCTGTAATATCTGTGAGCAATCACTGAACTAATGGTCATAACCAGAGTACTACCTGTACTAATGCAAATAAACATATTAAAGCAATTGTGCATATTTCTTTTAAAAAAGGAATTACCTATATTAGTCATTAATTTTCTTTCAGCAATTTTAAAAAAATGAATACAATGTATTGTTGAAAATAACATCAAAAACATTCAGAAAACCCGAGTGCTAGAATTAGCTATTTGAACTCTAGGCCTCCTATTATTTATAAGATTTTTCCAATTAAATGTAAGCCTACCTTTCCACAGGCTCTGCAATGGTGCCTTCTTTTAGTGAATGTAAATCTGGCCTCACATTTCATACAGTTTGGTGCTTGAGAATCTGGGACCCAAACTGGAGCGACTTCACCCAAAGTAGTAAATGGCTTTCTTGTATGAACACCCAACTGGCCAGCTCCAAGATCATTGTCAGGGCTATCGGAGGCTGTTGCAAGGCACAAACTATTGGAAACCACAGAATCATAGTCATCTGCATGCTCACCACTTGCATCTGTGACCAGAGCATTCTGCACTGTTTCATCAGCATATATATTTGTTGCTACATTTTCGCTTATTTTTATTTTTTCACTTATATCATTTTTATTTTTACTATTCCCACCACAGTTTGGAGGAACCAAGTCATTTTGTAAATGATCCAATAATGGCTTTGGAATTTGTAGTGTAAGATTTGTAGGCTGTTTTGGTCGGGCACCACCAAAGGGAACACTGAGAGATTGTAAATGAGCTGCTGATTTTACTGATGCTTCGGTTGATTCAGATGGAATCTGACTGCAGAGATTATGCAAACATTTTTTTCTCATTTGGTCACCAGAGCAGTTCGAAGTGGGTCCACTTCTTTCTGTGGCTTCATTTCCCCTTTGTTCATAAACATTACTATAGCATTCTGATTTGCTCTCTTCTATCTCCTTTTCCTCCGTTACAGAGTCTTCCTTGGAGGGCAAAGTCTTTGGAATATGAGCAATAACTGAGTTCTGTATTCCATAGGAATCACAATAATTGGGCAGCCCACTTGACAATGATGTCCCCGTGACATCAATTGGACTGGAATTTTCAAGCTCATTTATAGAGGACCCTTTTAAATCAGTATCTATTTCTAACATGCCATCACTGTTACCTGCACTGATACTATATCTTTGCTGCTGTACTTCATTTTCTGTGTCTATTTGTTTTCCCATTTCATTTTGTTGAGTCAGTTCTTCATTTGTCATCTCTTGACAATCTGATGAATGAGCAGCAGTGCTGAATAAGTTACTTGTGTTGAGTTTTTTATCATATTTGCCAGCTTCATTTTCAACAGCAGTAACATCTTGAGAGGTCAAATATCCATCAGAAGATTCACAATCATTGCCACTTCCCAATACATTCAACTTACATGTTGTAGAGAACTCAGCTATCCCTGACTGAACTTTTGAGGCCATCTGCTCTGTTATGGAAGTCTTTATGGAAAAGCTATCATTGTGTGTATTAGGTGAAGAACTTTTGATTTCCAGTTCTGTTTTCTGAGCAACTACATCAGTATCTAAATCTTCAACTGATGCATATTGTTCTTGCACTTTAATGCTTGGGTCAAATGACCTCTGAAAGGGAATTCTAATCCCTGATGCAGTAGTTTGTGAGAAGTGAGTATCTTTATTTGCATTATCAATCTCCTTTAACAAAGAAGAGTCACTGGATGAGCAATCTGAAGCAGTAGCAGCAGCGATATCATGGTTAATAGAATCTTCACCTGCATTCAGACTTGTTGTTAGTACTGGTTCTTTTTCAGTATCTGTATCTTTTTCAACAGACCCATTTACAGTAATATGAAGATGATTGGTTTGTTGGACTTCATTATCCAGTGTAAAGCTAACAGTATCCATTAAAGGGGGGCTGCTATAACTTTTACAATCCAGCAACTCATTTTGTAATGTTTTTTTGTCACAGTTATGCATGACTGCTACAACTAGAACGTTTTTTTCTTCTGGTAAACAGTCTATACTGCCACGTTTTTTCCCTTCGTCATCAACAGAGTTACACTGAATATTTGGATTACTGTTTCTCATAACCAACTGATCATCTGTTGTTGCCTGGTCATCAATCCACATGTTTGTGTTTTCTTGGCTCATATTAGGATTTTTGCCATTAAAACAGTAATCCCCTCCTCCTATAGATGTAGTGGCTATATGTGACAGGGAAAAGGATTTCAATTTCTCTGGACACTTAGAAATGGTTGATTCATTTACACTGGCTAGAGTTGGGTTTAAAGTCAGTCGATGAGGAGGAGGATCTAGGATCTGACTCCACTTTGCTTCCAACAATGTAGGTGAAATAGCTTCATCTAACAAAGAAAAAAACATTGATTGAAATCAATTTGCATTAAACTGAACACAGATACTAACATTTACAAAATATAAACAAAATAAATAGAACAGAAATAAATAGAACTAGAAAATAGAAATAAAAACACTATTACCACAATAAGAAAGTTGGAAGGTACCTTTGAGATCTTCTAGTCCAACCCCTGCTCAGGCAGGAAACCCTATACCATTTGTCTGAAGTGGCATAGGGTTTCCTGCCTGAGTAGAAAGTTGGACTACAAGACTTCCAAGCTCCTTCCAACTCTGTTATTCTGTATTCAATTAAATAATTTGGACACATTTATCTTCTTTCACATCAAAGATACATAACTTTCCTTTTATCAAAGCTGCAAAGCAACAGAGAATATCCAACAACACTAGAAAATAAATAAATTTCAGTAGTTAAAATTGAAATTAAAATTCAGTTAAAATCCATTTTTTTTCACAAAATGAATGACAGCCTTAATTAAAGTTATCTTTCATTCTCTTATTTCATTAACAAAATATCCTCCAAAGGCATTATCAAGCCGAGAACCGAGCTATGGATTCAATCTTCTGGAAAGGCCTCTGACAGTGAAATGCAGGCCAGAGCTCCATTCTCAGCTGCAGAATGAAGCTGCTCCTTCGGCCGCAGAAGTGAGCCAGCTGGGTGGGGCTGTCGGTGCTGCTGCCGTGAGGTGAGTGGAAAGACACTCCCCAAAAATAAGACCTGGTGCCTCTTTTGGAGGTAAAAATAAATAAATAAGTCCAGGTCTTATTTTGGGGGAAACACGGTATCTTTAATGACATAGTAAAGACAGCAGCAGCAAAAGATGCATCTGACCAAATACTTCTGCTTTCCCATTTTCTAACAGTTCTCCTTATAATATATGTCTTTTCAAGCTGTTGTGCTCTCTATTACTCTCTTGCATAGCCATTAGCAACAGAGTGTGTTTGTGTTTGGATGAAAAACCTTTAACATTACAACAAAAAGAAAATTAATCAATTGACCCATGTGTTATAACACAGCTACCACGTTCCAATTACAAAGAAACAACTATTTCCATTCCATTACTCCATATTAGGGGTAAGGAATGATGGCCACTGTTGTTCACCATTGTTTCCCACCTCTGCTCTATATGAAGAAAAAAATCAGTCAAATTGGTGAATAAACATTATTCCCAAAATGACAGCTAAAATAAATACCAAAGGCTATATTTTTCTCTTAAGTGCTATTTATTAATATACAGAATCTGCTGTCATAATGGTCACTAGTTTATATATCCTTAAAATACTAATTCATAAAGGATAGTTTTATCAATAGTTGTTAATTTTGATTCCTAGATAGAATCTTCAGATTAAGAGACAGTAACCCATTCAATCTCTGTTCCTGGGAAGCAAAATTAGAAGCAGACTATTATTTCTGTCTACTTGTATGCTTCTTAGAAGTATATAGTCAGTCAGCCTCAGAAAACAGAATGATGAATTTGATCAATGACTGGTGTGATCCAGCAAGACTTTAATTATTTGTTTGCTTAGTAGTTTTGAAGTTACAAACCTCCATGTAAGAGAATGGAACACATAAGAATATAAAGGAATACAAAGATATACAAAGATATAAAGGATGTACCACAAAGTTATTACCTTATATATATATATCTCCGAGACCGCCTTCTGCCGCAGATCCCCTCCCTCAGACCGGTACGCTCCCACAGAGTGGGCCTCCTCAGGGTGCCGTCGGCCAAGCAATGTCGGCTGGCGACCCCCAGGGGGAGGGCCTTCTCTGTGGGTGCCCCTACCCTCTGGAACGAACTACCCCCCGAGATCCGGATGATTCCGGATCTTCTTGCTTT